TTGCAGAATTTGTATCTATCCTGAACTTTCAGTACCACCTAAAATCGGAGAACCACTAGGATCGATCTGGAATTGATGCCAAACAGATTCGACAGAAACGTGTATTTGAGCGTAGGAAACAAGGCGTTGCAGCAAGTTACAGCTGTGTTCTGTGGCTTTCATCACTGTTGTGCCAGGCAACGTGGTATGTGGCGCACTCTTTCTACACAAGTGGTGCCCGCTTGTCCCCCCTCTCTCTTCCTCCTAAACATGGAAATCTCAACTATGATTTGCTACTGTATACATTATATACATTTTATACATTGTAAACGTGAATATCGAGACGTATATATTCATCATTGTATACGCGTATACAATGGTATTAAACACGGTGTATACAATGCGCCCATCACTGGGAACAAAAGGTATGTTGTGTTATCGAAGCCGGTTTTGGGTATCTCTTGAGGAATGGCACGATGCTGGCTCTGGTCAAAACATGATATGGTCATTACCATGATGTTCGTGGACAAACTGAAGCAATTTTCACATAATCAAACATGGTTCCAGTAGGATGGTGCTACTTCACACACCACGAGAGCGTCATCAAGTTCCTTGCAAAGATTGTTTCCGCCACATGTTGTTTCCAGACGAGGAGACATTGACTGGCCGCCAAGGTCGCCAGACCTAACGGCTTGCGATTACTTTTTGTGCGGCTACCTAAAGCAAAAAGTGTTCATTGATAAGCCAAGAACCATTTGGGGGATTAAAAGAAACATTATTGAAGAAGCGGTATTATTTTTAAGAAACAAAAATGGCATATTACTAGTTTGTTAATGTCATACTGTATTTTATTTAGATTGAATTGCTTTTATTGCCTTGTATTTTTAGTTTGCGAGATTTCCTGAAGGGCCCGTCTGAGAGACAAACATTTTCCTGTGAATTAAGACGTTTCAAAAATTGACGCCTAACATATTTTTGATGTCCACGTGTCATTGCAATATAATTGTGAGTTTTTGGTTAAAACAGCCTGCAATTGTTTCATAGAAAAGTTCTCTGATCCGCATAGGATGGAATTTAAACAAAGCTGTCAACTTCGGCTCAGTAACCGTGGAAAGTTCGTGTCATGATTGGACTGGCGATGTATTTTTTGCCGATCGGCATTCGCACCTCTGTGCGCACCCTTGTGGCTGTCACGCAAATTGTCGAACGTCATGCTCAGTGAGCATTTGAAATGTAGCCCGATCAATTAACGGAAAATTTTCCGATCTATAAAAAAGCGAACGCTGCGCTTTGATAGCGGCACTAAACGAAAGGCTGTGCGAGTCGATAAGGAAGTGTATAGTTTACACTATAGCGTAGGTAACCTTTTGTTTCTCCTTTATTTCTCACTCCAGTAGGCAGGAAATATGGAGCGCGTTCAACCAAGGTAAAGTGGTCCAGCGGTGCGGCGCTTTATAGCTGAATATCAGTAGCTGTGGAATAACGTCTGGGGTTCGCAATATTCAATCAACAAACTGCAAAATCTGACAGTCGAGTGGATTGCGAAAATTTTCGAGTCATAGCGCGGTGAGCACCAACCAAGGGAATTCAAAGCTAAATTTAGTATGCTACTAAAAATATACAGGGTGTAAACGTTGTGGTAGTCAATATTGAAATGGCTAATAGTGGGGTCAAAACAAGTCAAAAAGTTCATGACCCATGGTCCAAAAGTCAATAGATTTTTGTCTAAATGGCTTTATAGTTTACAACCTTAAGTGCCTTATATCGACCACAATCACCACAATCTTAATAATTTTTATAATCTAAACTAAAACGTTTTTAAATTGGGTAATTAACAAATAAATGGCATTAAGTTTTTCTAAGTTAAGCCAAAATTTGTAGTCGGTAAGTATGTAAGTTTCATTAAATTAAATATTTAAAACACACACGACAACCGCGCGTCGGTCTTTCATCACTCTTACCGAACCGGCAATCGATCGCAAACGGTAACAGTGGTTAGTATGTTGTTTTGTTTTTGTTCGCGTACGTCGTCGTGTTGATTTACAATGTTCTCGGATCAAGAGTTCGCCGACATGTTGTTAGTTTACGATGAAGCTCGTCAGAATCCGAATCTTGCAGCACAAATTTATTGCGACAGATTTCGCCAATGGGTACACCCAGACAGAAGGACATTTGTGCAAGTGTACCAAAGACGTCGAGATACAGGAAGTATTCAGCCCACTAATATTCGCACTCGTGAAAGACACGTTACTGTAGAGCAGGAGGAACAAACTTTAAATATCGTGGAAATCAATACAGATATCAGCACTCGGGAATTAGGCCGCATACCATATCCAAAGAATCCTAAGGGAAAATTTGCTTTATCCCTACCATGTACAACGCGTGCAAGCCTTGTTACCAGAAGACTATCCTCGCAGACTAACATTCTGTCAGTGGTTTTTGCACAAAAACATTGAAAATCCGGATTTTTTTAAAAACATTCTAGCGATGGACGAATGTACTTTTCCGAGAGACGGGATATTTAATTTCCATAATACCAAGAAAATCCTCATACCATTCGTGAAGGTCATTTCCAACAACGTTTTAGAATACATATTTGGGCGGGTATTCTTGACGATCAGGTAATTAATACCAGAATTTTTAGAACAGACCTTAGACAACATGCCATTTCAACGGAGACAGAATTTGTCGTTTCTTCATGACGGGGCACCACCACATACTTTTAGAAGCGTCATTCAGTATTTGAATGAACATTATCCAAATCGCTGGATCGGTCGAAATGCTCCTGATCCTCGAAAATGGCCAGCAAGATCTCCTGACCTCAATCCGATGGATTTCTGGTATTGGGGAGGACTTAAGGGGATGGTTTATGGGGCTGATCCAATAACACCTGAGGCACAACTTCGCGAAAAAAAATTTAATGCGGCTGAAATAATAAATGGACAACTTCGAGGACCTAGAGTAAGAAGAAACTGGGTTCGTCGTAATGAAGCTTGTGTGGAAACTGGAGGACGACATCTTGAACACCTTCTTTCAATACATAAAAGTACAGTGTGGGTTTAAAAAAGAAAAACAATGTATGTATCATATATATATACACGATACTGACTGTTGTAAGCATGAACCGGTTGTATGTTGTAATTGCAAATTTTCAAACTATAGATATAACAAAAATTATAGTACCAACCACTCACCATTAGATAAAAAAATGTCCAACTTTTCTATATTATCAACAGCAGTACAACTTGAAAATCCTTTTTTAAGAAAGAAGAAATTTTAACCAAAATTTTAGAATATTGCATCATTTATGACGCACGACTATGTAAATAACTTCCAAATTCATCGTATTAGTACTAATACTGCTCATGATACTAGCGAGCTAGATTCTTTTTTACAAAATCCTGAAATATCTGTTAAAATTTATCATATGAACATCAGAAGTATAAAACATAACCTTGACTACTTTAAATTAATTTTGAAAAGAATACAAGGTGATATAGATATAATCATTCTATCCGAAGCATGGCAAGTGGGCGATGTGACTCTGTTTCATTTAGAAGGGTACGATACATTGTATAATTTTGGTAACCATAATCAAAACGATGGAGTGATGGTGTATGTACGAAACAATCTGCCTTATAACCATACCATATTTACAATCAACAATGAACTAAAAGGTATCAATCTAACAATGCAAATTGAAAATCGTAGAGTCAAAATTACTTGTGTTTACCGACCACCATCTTCAGATCCTCATACATTTATAAGAGACATAGATGAACTATTAAAAAACAATGAAAACAATCACCTTCATAATCAAATATTTATAGGCGACATCAATATAAACATTTTAGAGGAAAATTCTATGGTGAAAGAATATTTAAACATTTTATCAAGTAATGGTTTTTTATCATACATAAATAAAGTAACACGACCCACCAGTAAAACCTGCATTGATCACTGCTTTATAAAGGATATTTCCAATATTTTTTCATACATGCCTATTATCTATGAAAGCGATATTACAGATCATTATTCCACTGTATTATTGATATCTTCACAAAATAAAAACCAGAACTGCCCAAGGGCAAAAAATGAAAGAAACCTTGAATACAAATATTTCACTGACAACTCAAAATTAATATTTAACGCACAAACGGAATCATGGGACGAAATTTTTTTAACAAATTCTTTAGACGAAGCTACAAATTTATTAATACACAAAATTCAAAAAGTAATTGAAGTTAGTACTAATAAGGTTAAAATAAGTCACAAGGAAAAAAGCAGAAATGATTGGATGACCAAAGGACTAATAAAATCTGCAAACGAAAAAGAAAGACTGTCCTCCTATGGATATATTATATTTATTTACTCGTATCATGTTCCCTGTATTTTAGAGTAAATAATTATTATTATTATTATTATTATTATTATTATTATTATTATTATAAAAAAGAAAAACAATGTATGTATCAAAATTGTGTTCCCTATTTATATGTGGATTTTTTTAATACGTTCAATAAACTTTCACATACCAGGTGAAGTGCTGAGACAGTTAGTGGTAAGTCGGTTTTTTAATTGTTTGCATTTTATGAGTACATTATCAAATAATGAAATAATACCTAAGAGTCAAAAATAACAAACTTCCTCTTTATTTACACTGCGTTCCGTCGTAATTTGCTTCTGGCATTGCGCGTTGTCAGATTTTATTTTACTTTAACGTCGTTTTGACCCCTATCTTATATGAAACTTTTTGATTCTTTTAACGCCCTCTATAACCCATTCAAATAATGACTATCATAACGTTTACACCCTGTATAAAATTGCCGACCTTAGGACTTCTCTATACAAATGATGAGATTATACCATACTTTCAATCCTGTGCATTCCAGGTCATCTTCATCACGGAATGTTACCTATTCTAAAACTAATTTAGTTTTGAATTCCTTTAGTTGGTACTCGCAAATCGTAATGTTTTTTGACCTAGCACTTGTTGATTTGTAATCAATGAACTTCATGGTTCGCATATAAAATGGATAGATAGACATTTATTAAATGGAAAGAAAAAGACAACTGTTATATAAAAATAAACATTAAAATGATAAAAATAAAATTGTAGACAAAGTTACATATTTAATATGATCTCAAAATTGCTTTATAAACAAACGAGAGGGGAGAGACGTTAATGTCGGATAAGGTTATTTATGGCGTTAAACTTGTTACAAATGATGGACACAAACATGTAATTTAGCCAAAATATTGGTTCTAACATATTCATAATAAAACATTTAGAGGAGAAGGTGTAAATATGGAATATGGTCTAAATATGGAATACCAAGGTTTTGAAAAAACCAAGTGCCGCCCTCTATCAAAATACGGTTTAACTTACGAATTTTATCATCCTTTATTAACACTGCAGGGCGCAGATTTCAGTTTGTTTTTGTTTGTTAGACGTGCAACTGTGTTTTACGCACCCTCGAACTTTATTCAAGTAAGTCATTATTTAAGCGTATTTTTTTTTATTACATGATTTTATTTAAATATTCTGTACGTTGACAGTCTACATGAACTAAAGTTTAATATGCCGTTGTATTTGTTGAAGTTTTTGTTTTGATACATTAGATATAACCTCAAATATTGAAAACGTATAGTGTTGGTAATATGGAATACTGGTATTCCATATTTACACAACTTTTTTTTTCAATGTATTTTCAAGTATATTATTTTTTTAGGATGCCTCGACGTACAGATCGTCGACCTTCCAGTCCTAAAAAACGGAAGCAATACAATGAACAAGACATGGCTAGAGCTATCAAGGCAGTTAGAGAAAAAAACAATGGGATATCTCAAGGCAGCCAGATCCTTTAACGTTCCACGAACAACGCTTTTTCGACTTAGTAGAGATGGCACAGTTACTCCAGAGAGTGCTGCAGTAACAAAGCTGGGAAGAAAATGTATTCTGGGTTCAAAGCTAGAGAAGGAACTAGTGGATTATATCTTAGCTATGGAGTCCAAATTTTATGGCCTTACATCCCAAGACGTGAGGCGCATGGCTTATCAGTTGGCAGCAAGAAATAAAATTAAACATCCATTTTCTCCATCAGGAGCTGCAGGCAGAGCGTGGATTGATTTGTTCTTGAAGCGGCATCCAGAATTGTCAATAAGGAAGCCAACGGGTACGTCTTTTGCAAGAGCTGCAGGATTCTGTAAGGAAAGGGTAGATGGCTTTTTTGACCTCCTGGAAAGACAAATGCCTTATTCGCCACACAACGTGTATAACGTAGACGAAACAGGCCTAACGATTGTCCAAAGTAGAGTATCAAAAGTAGTAGGACTTAAAGGGAAACGCCAAATTGCTTCATTAACATCTGCAGAGCGAGGGGCTTTGATTACAGTCATTTCTTGTATGAGTGCTGCTGGAAACTTTGTCCCTCCTTTAGTTATTTTTCCTAGAAAAAATATGGACATGCAGCTAATGAAAGGAGCTCTTCCTGGGTCCATAGGAGTTGCACATCCATCCCGTTGGGTACAATGCCATATTTTCACCCAGTGGTTTCGTCACTTTATCCAATACGTTAAACCAACTAAAGAGAACCCTATCCTGCTAATTCTTGACGGTCATTACAGCCACACGCGCAATATTGAAATTATTGATCTTGCAAGAGAAAATTTTGTCACTATTTTGTGTCTACCTCCTCACTCTACACACAAACTCCAACCGTTGGATAAGTCATTGATGGGCCCATTGAAAGTCTATTACAGTGAAGAGATTCGTATTTGGATCCGCCAAAACCAACGGGCTCTGAGCCCTTTTGACATTATGGAGTTATTTGGTAGAGCTTATGAAAAAGTTCAGACTTACTCAATAGCGGCAAATGGTTTTTGCGTCACTGGAATCTGCCCTTTTAACAGAAACGTTTTTACTAATGCTGACTATATTGCTGCAGAACAAGAAGCAGCAAAAAGAGGAATTACCGTTGGCATTGAAAACCTTAAGACCACTGCTTCTGTTGACGTCAACAAACCATTCTGCTCTAAAGATTGGGTCGAGCCTATCGATATCGATCAACCTTCACGCTCTAAAACCTCATGCGAAAATAATGTGCCAATCAGAACTCAGACGATTGACCAAGAAAAAGAGCAAAGCTCTGACTCAAAAGCTGACGACACTATAACAAAGGAATTCGTTTCACCGTTTGACATACATATATATCTCCAGTTCCAAACACAATCCGCAAAAAAACTAACAGAGGACGTAAGGTAATGGGTTCGGCTGTGATTACCTCGTCAAAATACAAAGATGAACTAAATGAGTCAATAAATAAGAAAACTGAAAAAGAGGCAAAAGTTTGTGGCATTAAAAGAAACTCATCCTCAGGAAAATCTTTAAAACCAAAAGGAAATCCTAAAAAACCAAAACCAAAGATCGTAAAACCTAAAATCCAGACCACATTAAAACGTCCAAAGAACGAAGTTTCTTCTGATGAAACTGAAAGTTCCGAACATGTAAGACTTGATGACTCTGACAGTGATTTAGAGAGTATGCCAGGGCATACAAAACCCAATGAGGACCATGCTTCATGCATGTTTTGTCAGGCTGCGTTTTCTGCTGATCAGAGAGGAGAATTATGGGTGCAATGTTTGATGTGCTCAATGTGGGCACATAACGAGTGTGCTGGGGCCGAAAAAGAAGAAGAATATATTTGCGATTAGTGCAAGTAAACTGTAAAAATATGCATTATATTCTAGCTTAGTTAAGGTATTCCATATTTGCACCACCTTTTCTCAGGTGGTGATTTTCATTTGGATAATATCTGAGTAGCATTGCTATGGTTTTTAACAATAACAAATGAGGATGGCGAAAAAACTAATAAGCGTAAATAATAGCTACAAAAAATGTTCAAAATTAGCACCACCTTGCCTAACACACTCTCGAGTTCGACGAAACCTATACATGTTCATGCACGTCTGATGGAAAATAAATTTATTATTATTATTATTATTATTATTATTATTATGAACTAATCCTTGCTGCACCCTCCAAAGCATTTGGATGTTCTTTTTCATTTCCTGGATAAAGTGGAAAATTCTTTGTCGAAGATCATCTACAGTTTCTACTGGGGTATTGCAGACGCGTCGTTTTAAATCTCCCCAGAAGAAGAAATCCAAGGGATTTAAATCAGATAGTCTAGCCGTCCACGATACAGGTCCTGATCGGCCTATCCACTGGTCTGGATAAACTCTATTTAGGTGCTCTCTTACTAATATACCAAAATGAGGTGGCGCGCCGTCGTGCATAAACCACATTGCATGCGTGTTTGTAATAGAAGACCTTCCAGCAGAGTGGCTAGTTGTTCTTCGAGAAATTGTAAATACATTTGGCCATTTAGCCTAGGTGGTAACTCAACGGGTCTTATTAAATATTGTCATTACTGCCCATAAATTAATTTAAAATTGTATTTGGTGGCGGGTTTGTATAAATGTCAATGGGTCCATCCCTTCCAAAGCCTGCTTCGTCCGAAAATAATAAAAATGAAGTAAAGCCATTGTCGTGCTTAAACTTCCTTAAAAGCCATGTACAAAATTCTACCCTTGTGGGTTCATCATCCGCGCTTAAACTATGTACTCTTTGCTCTTGAAAAATGGTTCTTACTGTCCATTTGGAAACTTGAAATTCTCGAGCTACATTCCTAACCCCAACTGAAGGATTTCAAAGATGGCATCTAAAATATTTTCTTCAACTTCAGCTGTACGTACAGTTCTGGGAGCTTCACTATGTCGGCCCATATTTTGAACAAACCTACCTAAAATCCAAATGGTTTTTACTACTCAAAATAGACTATAATCTTTTCTCACCAGTTTCTCGTAATCGCTGATCGATACGTTGGAAAATCTTTGAATTAGTCAGGTTTCTATTAGGGAATCTGCCAGCGTACAATCTTCGTGCTTTTAAAGCATTACATCTTGCAAATCCGTACAGTAAATGCATATCAGAATATTCACCAAACGTATACTCCGTGATGTTTAACAACTTATTGTCAACTTAAAATTATCCATGAAGTTTAAAGCAATATTATGAAAAACATTAGAAACCATAGCAACGCTACCCAGATATTATCCAAAGCAACTTGATTATTATGTTATAAAAATGTTTTATCATCATGGTACAACTGATGAATTGGAAGTTTTGAAAAGCAATATCTCCAAGACTATTAGCTTTAGACACTACTCTAACAAGTAAACCTTTTTTGTTGTGGAAATACGAGAGAATAAGATTTTTCGGTACATATTTTGATCTGTAGTATCTCCAGTTTTTAGATTTTCCAACCTTTGACATAGAATAGTTTATATACTATCTATACTCAGTGACATTAGAAGTGTTCCTAGAAAAAATAATTTCATCAACTTATTATTTCGACAACGTAAGGACTACATATAAAGCATGCTGTGGCAACAATGTCAAGGTTTACCTTTGTTTTTTTTCAGCTTTGCTAAAACGCTAACTCTTAGTTTTTGGGGAAAAAGCAGTTTCTGCGAGCTGAGAGGTAGAAATATATTTAGTTATTGCCCTTTCATGTAGTAGTGTTAAGCATAAAAAAATGCCTCGAGTTCAAAGACGTGCAAATCATCACCATGTTAGCGACTTTGACAGGGGTAGAATTATTGCCTGTCGAGATGTTGGTTTGTCCTATCGAGAAATTGGCCGCCGTGTTAATTGTACTGCAATGACGGTAATGCGTGTGTGTCGTGTGTGGATAGAAGAAGGTAGAGGACCACGGAGAAGGTCAACCGGTCCGCCAAGGCGTACCATAGAGCGTCGAGATATACTTACGATACCGTTTTGCTCCTACGCGTCAGATTGCTGACCAATGGTTGGAATAAAATAGGTCTATTACTATACGTACGCTCTATCGCCGCATTCGAGCCGTTGAACTTTTTTCATATGGACTTTGTTCAAGATGCAGGCGTTAATGTTTTGCCGTAGCCACACCGCTCATCGGATTTAAATCCCATCGAACATGTGTGGAATATGATGGGGAGGAGACTATCTACTATGCATCATCCGCCACAGACTCTGCCACAGCTACTTCACGAAGTTCAAGTCGCTTGGAATGAGGTGCCACAACCAGACATCGACATTTTGTTTATTAATCTTGTGATAAGATCACAATTGTTCCAATAGGGACCATTCACGGTTAAAATACAACAATTCATTCAAATAACTATGACAGATGCTGCAACTTTTCTAGTTAGATAAGAAGGCAAACTGCTCTATTCTCTTTCATAAATCGCCGACATAATCTGAGTCAGAACATCAATCACTTAGCGAAATTGCAATTTATTACTTAATAACTCTAACGCAGATGCACGCACGATACTGAACACTCGCTTGATGATTTCATCGGTTTACATTGATTTCTCCTTTTTTGATGTAAATTGAGTTGGTGTTGGCGGTAACATTGATAAGGTTTTTGAGAAAGCTATTTAATCGTTTTTCTTCTATGAGATCATATCAATTCGCATTATATTTTAATTCTGAAAGATTCGTTGTTCTCATTGGATAAACTTCCTACAATCTCTCACCCAGCCGCGTCAAAAGAGGAACAACGTAAGACATTTGAGATTAACACATCATCCGATCTCAGTAAAGTTTCGATGTCATCATTTAACG